AGGGGCGTCGCTGGCGGTGACGGCGGCTGCGCGGCCGTTACCTGCTCCGCAGGGCTCCCGCGGCCTCAGATGCGTCGCCTGGAAACCCGCCCGCGGGGCCTGCTGGGAAGGGAGGGCTAGGGGGCGGGGCCGAGCCTGTGGGCGGGGCCTGCTGGGAAAGGAGAGCCAGAGGGCGGGGACATCCAGGGGGCGGGGACATCCAGGGGGCGGGACCGCGAGGTCCGCGCGCCTGCGCACTTCGGGCCACGTTGGGCTGGGCGCTGGGCGCTGGGCGCTGGGCGCTGGGCGCTGGGCGCTGGGCGCTGGGCGCTGGGCGCTGGGCGCTGGGCGCTGGGCGCTGGGCGCTGGGCGCTGGGCGGTGTCCAGGGTCCAGACCCTGCATCTCCGGAGGACGCCGGGAGAGGACCTGATGGGCGTCCTAACGGGGCCCCGGCTGCCCGTCCTCCTCGCCCGGGCGGAGGGGGCGGACGAGGGGGCGGACGAGCCGGGCCGCGGCGTTCCCGGGGCGCGAAGATCCCGCTGCCCGGTCCGCACTGGGTGCTGTCGCCCACGCATCGCATCGGGTGGTTTGAATCCGAGTCCCGGAGGGAGTCTGCTGGCCGGGAGGGGCGCACCGAGGGCAGAGCGCCCCCTGTAGGCTGCGCGGCACGCACTGTGGACGCCTGGTTCCCAGGGAAGGGGGTGGGCCGCGGCGGGCAGTGTGGACGCCTCGTCTCTGCCTATTAACCTCTCCCTGTACAGTTGAGTTTCTTTGGAGAAAGAACAGCTGGTCACAAAGCAATTCGCGGTTGGTGTGGAGAATTTAGAATGAGCAGGAAATTGTCAAGAAAAAAAAATCTGCCCTAACCCGGGTGGCTCAGTGGATAGAGCGCCGGCCTGCGGACTCAGGGGTCCCAGGTTCGATTCCGGTCAAGGGCATTCTAACTCTCTATCCCTCTCCTTCCTCCCTCTCTGAAAAAAAAAAAATCAATAAAAAAATAAAAATTACCCAGATGATGGAATGTGTAATTGGCAAACGTATTTTTGCTTCTCTTCTACCTCTTCCCCTTCCCCTTCCCCATTGTATCAACTGGCTTGTACCCTTGTAGGTGAATCTTGAGGTCACCCCTGTTTCCTCAGGATAAAATTCCTACATGAGAAGTTGAAGGATCAAAGGATATGCCCAGTTTGAGGCTTTCTGCAGATGGATGAAAGTTTGCCTTCCAGGCAAATGTTTCCAATCCTCACCCCACATTGGGGATAACCTTATTTCTTTTTAAAACTCCTGTTGTATTGTCAGAAATGGGCATCTTTGATTTGCTCCACTAGGAAGGATAGGCATTTTTCCATATTGCTAGTGACCTTTAGAAATTAATCTGTGATTTGCCTTTCCTGGCCTTTTGCCCATTTTTTTTTCACTTGGTATTTGTTCATCTTTATAAAAAATGATTTCTTTTTTAAAAAAAAATATATTTTATTGATTTTGTACAGAGAGGAAGGGAGAGAGATAGAGAGTTAGAAACATTGATGAGAGAGAGTCATCGATCAGCTGCCTCTTGCACACCCCCTACTGGGGATATGCCCTCAACCAAGGTATTGTACATGCCCTTGACCGGAATCGAACCCAGGACCCTTCAGTCCCCAAGCCAATGCTCTATCCATTGAGCCAAACCGGTCTTGGCAAAAAATGATTTCTTAAAAGAGTTTTTGATGCTCCATGAAACTCGGGCCTGTGATATATGTTGCAAGTATTTCCTCCAGCCAATTACAGTTTAAATATCTTAGAGTTTTGTCAATTATCTATACATATACAAGCCTAAGTGACCAGTCGACCAGTTGCTATGATGCGCACTGACCACCAGGGGTTAGACGCTCAATGCAGGAGCTCCCCCTGGTGGTCAGTGCGCTCCCACAGCGGGAGCGCTGCCCAGCTGACTGATGGGCGCCAGAGGCCAGGCTCAGGACTGGTGAGTGCAGCTGTGGCAGTGAGCCTACTGAGTGGTGGCGGAGGAATGAGTGGCGTGGTACCCACCTAGGTTCTGGCTCCTCCTCGGCCGCCTGCCACTTTGCGCACTACTACATCCCTCGGTGATGTTGGATTGCTGATTTTGACCAATCCCTGCAGGCCACTCCGAGGGACCCCACTGGTGCACGAATCTGTGCACCGGGCCTCTAGTACCTCAATAAGGTTGGAAAAAAGAGGAAATTCTGTTAAAAAAAATTGGGTCAAACCTGAGAGTATTGTTCTCTGACTTGAACATCAAGGACTAGGGACGTGAAAGGGTTCGCCTCCTGTGTCCGCACCGGATCAGGCAGCTTATTTCTGAAGTGCATGTGCTGCCCGAGAGGCACTGAGCTTTATTTCAGGGCTCCTGTGGAATGTGTGGTATTCCTGTCAGTTATCCTCAAGCGCATTGGCGTCCCCGTGATAAATGAAAAGACCTTTCGGCTAGAGCTCTCAAATTTCTAATTTGTACATTTTCATGGCATTCTTAAAAGGATACACTTCTAAAAGTAATTCCTAGTGAAAAAAGGGAGCCCTGGGAATTTGGGGAGGCGGTCAGGAATTGTTGTGGTGCGGTGTGGAGATGAATGTGTGAGTTCAGGCATTGGGTACAGCGTTCACCGTGCCCATCAGCTGCAGTGCCGAGTCCTCATCCGGAGGGGAGACAATCGACGAGCCAGTTTTAGGGTGTTTGTGTGGGTGAAGGGAGTGGTTTATGCAAGTTTGGAACAGGCAAACACCTATACATTGTTAGCTATTATTTCAAGTTGGAAATTTATTTCTCCTGAGGGCACGCGGATAAGAGAGTTTTATTACTGAAGGCAGTTTTGCCTTATGTGACCAGGGGCTGCGTATTCTCTAGGGCAGCGGTGGGCAAACTCATTGGTCCACAGAGCCAAATACCAACAGCACAACGATTGACATTTCTTTTGAGAGCTACATTTTTAAAACTTAAACTTCTTCTAACGCCACTTCTTCAAAATAGCCTCGCCCAGGCCGTGGTATTTTGTGGAAGAGCCACACTCCAGGGGCCAAAGAGCCGCATTTTGCCAACCACTGCTCTAGGGCACATGAGATCCAGCTATAGTTCATGTTACCAGCTTACAAAGTGAAGAAGTATTCATAGCTTGTTACTTTCTTAAATAATATCTGGAGAAAAAGAACACGCCTATGTGACAAATTTTATGACCAAGGTGTTAAAAATATATATATTTTTATGTTCTTAATGGTTTTTAGAGAGAGAGAGAGAGGAAGGGATTTTAGATTCTAGAATAGAGATAGAAACATCATCGATTGGCTGCCTCCTGCATGATCCCCCTTTTCGGAGACAGAGCCCACAGCCCAAGCTTGTGCCCTGACCCGAACCGCCATCTCTTGATTCCTGGGTTCATGCTCCACCACTGAGCCACACTAGCTGGGCAAAAAAAGGAAAAAAAGAAAAAGATATTTATTTATTTTTAAAAATATATTTTATTGATTTTTTACCGAGAGGAGGAGAGAGGGATAGAGAGCTAGAAACGTCGATGAGAGAGAAACATCGACCAGCCTCCTCTTGCACCCCCCCCCCCCCCCCTACCGGGGACGTGCCCGCAACCAATGCACATGCCCCTGACCGGAATCAAACCTGGGACCTTTCAGTCCGCAGGCCGACGCTCTATCCACTGAACCAAACTGGTTTCGGCAGCAAAAGATATTTTAGCTGACAAACATTGTACATAGTCATTGTAGAAATTTTGAAAATAAAAGAAGAAAAGCAACGATGACCTATGACAAAGTAAAATTTACACAGCTACCGTCGTAAACGTGGGGCCCCACTGATCATCTCCACCAGGGCCTGCCGTGGGGAGTGGCTAACCTGGCATGTTGAGGCTCTGATTACATGTGGTGGAGTCAGCTCGCCCCTTCGTCCTCATGTAAATGAACCTGAGCTACATGCCAGGGACAGGGAATCCGTTCACATCCAAGGTGTCCACCTGGGCTGGAGGCGAGCAGGCCCCCTGGCCTCCCGGGCTCCGGCCGCGCTAAGCCTGACCTCCCTCCCTGTTCCAGAAGCCTGCGCCCCCTCCTTTCGGAGGGGCAGGGACTCCAAGCCCCAGAGCCGGGTCCTCTAAGAGGACTGGACACCCCCGGGGGGCGTTGGCCTCCAGGGCCCTGGACCTGGCCGCTGAGGCCCATCAGAAGAGGTGGCGGCCAGCATCCGGGCTTTCCTGGAGTTTAAATTCCTCCCTCTTGTCGAAACCGGTGTGGCTCAGTGGTAGAGCGTTGGTCTGCGGACTGAAAAGTCCCGGGTTCGATTCCGGTCAAGGGCATGTGCCTTGGTTGCGGGCACATCCCCGGTGGGGGGTGTGCAGGAGGCAGCAGATCCATGTCTCTTCCATGTCTCTCTCTCTCTCATCGATGTTTCTGACTTTCTATCCCTCTCCCTTCCTCTCTGTAAAAGACCCCCACAAAAACCCCTCCTGTGTGCGAGGTCGGTGTGTCTGCTGGTGGAAGTGCTTGCACTGAGCGCCCGGCGGCCTCTCCCTGCCTCTCCCTGCCGGGCTGGTGTCGGTGAAACCTTACCCGCCCGCGCCTGTCAGCTCCGTTCTTTAGGAGAAGCAGGTGGTCCAGGGCAGAGCGGCCCGGCCACCCAATGCCACCCTAATGCCATCCACTGTAGGACAGCTCACCGGCTTCCCTTCCAATCCGCCAGGGAGCTGTCCTTCCCCTGTGCGAAGGCCCTGGGGCTACTCTGACCTCCGGGTGTGTGTCTGCCGCCCGCGCACAGCCTTTCCCGAACCCCGAACCGGAGCTGAGCCCAGCGCCCAAGGGCGCCCCCGCCCGCGCCCTCCCGGCCCTGCGCCCGGGGCGGGGATTGGTGCGCCCGCAGCCTCGCCTTTTAGGGACTCGGCGGCCGGACGGGATGAGGGACAGGGTCCAGGGCTGCTTTTACCAGCCAATCAGCTGCTGCCCGGACAGGCCCCGATGCCCCGGCCAATGGCCGCTCCGGGGAGGCCGCGCCTAAGTGGCCGGCGGGCCGGGCGGGGCGCGGGGCGCGGAGGGAGCGCAGGGAGCGAGGGCAGCGCCCGCCCGGCGCCGCTGCGGTGCGGCTGGCTGAGCCTCTCCGTTTGTCTAGCGCCCCGCTCCGTCCTGGCTTGTGCTGGGGGGAGTCCCCTTTCCGGCTGTCAAAATGGTCATCAAAGTGTTTGTGGCCACATCGTCTGGGTCCATAGCGGTAGGTGTGGGAGGGGATTCCCCGGGGAAGGCGCGGGCTCTGAGTTGCGGGGTGCGGGGTGGTGAGCCCGGCTTGGGGAGGGGGGGCGGGGACCCCACCACGTGCCCTGCTTCCCGCCCTCGTGTTGCAGAAGTGTGCGAAGTGTGGGAGCTGGGTGTGAGCAGAGACAGGAGGAAGGGGGCGTGCTCGGTTCCAGGATGTTTAACAGGCGATCTGTGTCCCGCATACATTACGGAATATTTCAGAACCAAAGGTTTCTACGTGCTTGTTTTTGTTTTGGTGTGGAGTGTTTTTGCCGCTCGGCCTGCGAGATCGGTACAAGTTGCCCAAAAGAAAAAAGACACGTTGTGTAACGGTATTTGGAGCTGGGAGAACCAGATTCCTAAAGGACTCTGGATGCACCTACGTGTGGGCACAGAGACCATGGGGAAAGTGTACCGTTAGCTGTGTAATGCTCTTATTTGAGGAAGATGATGTCACAGTGACAAGAGCAGACGTCGCTGAGGCCCCAGTTTTAACCGCTCTGGGGATCCACGCAGACCCAAAACAGGCCCTCTGAGCTGGCCTCCTTACATTGCTTTGTCTGATCGCCTCCGGACCGCGGTCTGTCCCATTCCCACCTTCCTTCTGGGCAGGAGAGACCTGCCTTCAGAAAGGGGGGAGTGGATGGTGACTCTGGCTTCGACACTGCCATTTCCACCAGGTTTTAGCAGAAGTCTGGGAGGCTCTGGAGAGAAAGGGGTTGGGTTGATCCTGAGAGCTGGAGACCAGCGGGAGGGTGTTTCCTTGTAGAACTGGGTCCTGGACATCTGGGTGGCGGCTAGGGTTTCAGGCTCACACAGCCAGGGACATACCCCCGGTGAGCCGCTGGCAGATGCCACCACCCCTCGTTCACCGTGCCCAGAGAAGGCGAGCCGAGAACAAGAGGAAGGGTATCTGCTCTGAGCCCGACTGGTCAGCAAGTGGCTAGTGAGTTCTAGAACATCTTTAACAGAAAAAAAGAGGAGACATTCCAGATGTAAAAACTGCAAAACCTCCCGGGGCTGTGGATGACCTCAGAAACTCTTTGCTGACCTGCCGTGAGCACGTGTTGTTGGGTTATTTGGGTAGAACGGGTTTTGGAGGAGAAGGGTCTTCGTGGGCTTTGAGCGTGCTCCGGATATTCACTGCTGGACCCGTTATCCCTGACCTGTCAGCCTTCTCATAGCGTGTAGACCAGGCCATCTTTCCAGAGACAGCGAATACATTTGTGGGGTTTTTCGGGTTATTTGATAGCCTATATGCCTGAAGTTTGAGCTTGATTTAGTTAGCCGCGGAGGGCCTGGAGGGGTATTGTTCTTTCCAGGATCTTGGAAAAGCCAGGTTAATTAATTAATTAATTAATTAAATTTTTATTGATTATGGTATCACATAATTGTCCTCATCCACCCATTCCCACCCCAAACCCCTCCCCAACTATGCCCCCATCCCCTTGTTGTCTATGACCACTGGTTAGGCTTATATGCATGCATATAAGTCTTTGGTTGATCTCTCTCCCTTTTCCCCACCCTCCCCTACTTTCCCTCTGAGGTTTGAGAGTCTGATCGATGCTTCCATATTTCCGGGTCTGTTTTTGTTCATCAGTTTATGTTGTTCATTATTTCCCCCAGATGCGTGAGATCATGTAATACAAGAAATACACTTGTAAGAACCGAAAATGAGACCAGCTGTAATGATTATGCTGAGAGGCAAATGAATCAGTCTGTAGTGAGTTTCTTTCTGGGCCAACAGTTCTTTTGAGTCCTTATTTCAATGTCAAACAGTTCCTTATGTGTAGATGGCAGCAACGATATTTCAGTTCTGGGTGGTGGACAAACGGTGGTGTTGCAGGTCCAATCATCTCTGGTTTGGTCCTGGGCATCCTCCAGCGACGCACAGCTGCTGTCTGCCAGTATGGCAAGGCACTGTCAGCGTCTTCATGTCTGGACTGTTTCTCTTCAGTCTTCATGGCTGGAGCAGTCCTGTCAATTCCTCTGTTGCAGGAATCCATATAGTCCTAGAGTTGTTTTCTGAAAATATATAAACATATCCCCAACCAAAAGTTAATAAAGGAATATTTTCTATAAATTTGACCTGGGATCCTTTTTTATATTTTGCCCAAATGATTTTCCTCTGGTTTGTTTTGACACCACGTGTGTTTTTCATGGGTGTCTTGCTGTTAGCATTACAAATGAAAGTTAATTTTCTAAAGTACAAATATTCTAGATGTAATTTACTTACAGGATATTTTTCCTTACATGATATTCTTTTATTATCACCGCCCCCTTTTTTTACTTAAATATTAGGAGGCTTTTGGAAATTTTATAATGTAGTCTTGATAGCTTTTACATTTTAATTTTTTTGCGCTAAAATATGACTGCTTTAGGTTCATTACATGTTACACAATTTTATCATAAGATGAACTGCCAATAAATATTTTTGTTAATACTTTAGGAACAGCTTTTTGTACATTACAATACATTTTTCTATAATATTCACTTATTTCAATTAGCCAATTTAAATTACGCTAAAAACTTGACTACTATTCTACTGTCAAAATCAGCACTCTAACAACCATCTTATTTTACCCTGTGTATATTAGTGGAAAGGATTATTTGCCTTCTTGAGTAGGCCCTGAGCTTTTCTGGTACTAGACTGGATTTGGATATCAAAAGCCCGCTTCCCCTCACCATGGGTACAAGACATCTCAAACAAGTCTTGTTGCAGTGAGAGGACAGCTACGGTTGGCCCATTCTCTGTCTGTTACCTGGGTCCCGATTAGAGCTGTGCATGGGAGCGAAGCAGCCATGGGAGCAGGAGACCTCCCTCAGAAGGGTGAAGTTTCAGGCCCCTGCAAAGTTGGGGTGGGGGATAAGGGTCTGTAAGCCAGATTAATTCTTGTTCCCTGAGCAAATGTTTTGGTGCCACTTGGAACCGCGTGACCTTGGGAAGGGGACTTCACCTTGCAAAGCCTTGGTTTCCTTACCTGTAACACGAGGACCCACCGAGCACTCACCCGCCGGGTGGCGAGGATTTAGAAATAACCTGCCTGGTGCCTGGCGTGGTGTTGGTGCTTAATAAGTATTATAATCGTTAGTTACTGTCATAATTCTTAGTTCTGGCTAGTTAGTGCTAGAACAGTTATATTATCTTGTAGTTATTGCAATTGCTAATATGAACAGTATAGTAGTTGTTCTAATTATTAGTTAACACAAGCAGATCTGCGTTTATGATGATTATTTTCAGAAGACTGAAAAGCCATATACATTTTTAAGCCACATAAAGGAAGAATTTCTGTCTGATCCTGGGGCAGGAGACGTGATTATTGCTGTGGGTCAGTGCTATTGATTTTTCTGGTGGGGCGTTTCACTAGAAGCTTCTTTCAGGAGAGCCGCAGGGCTTGGGCAGTGCATGGGGCTGGCCTGTCACCCTTTCTTCCTTCTGCGTTAGCCCGTGTGCTTCCAAAGCGAACCCTTGCCTGGGACCTCGTCAACAGGGCAGCAAAGCTTCTGTTACATGAATGACAGAAATGAAAAACGAAAAAACAAAACTTCTTTCTGAGGGATCACACGTGTACCCTGGGCATTATCACTCTTGGCTATTTGGTTGTTTTGTTTATCCTCACCGGAGCTTATTTTTTCCATTGCTTTTTAAAAATTTTTTAAAAAAATATATATTTTATTGATTTTTTACAGAGAAGAAGGGAGAGGGATAGAGAGTTAGAAATATCGATGAGAGAGAAGCATCGATGAGCTGCCTTCTGCACACCCCCTATTGAGGATGTGCTTACAACCAATGTACATGCCCTTGACTGGAATCGAACCTGGGACCCTTGAGTCTGCAGGCCGACGCTCTATCCACTGAGCAAAACAGGTTAGAGCTCCATTGCTTTTTCTGAGTAAGTGGAGGGGGAGAGAGAGAAACATCAATGTGAGAGAGAAACCTTGGCTGCCTCCTGCACATGCCCCTGACCCTCAACTGCGGTACGTGCCCTTGCCTGGCTCGAACCTGGGCCAAACCAGCCAGGGCTGAGGCTGTTTTAGTAGCTGACATGGAAGTGAGGTTGCAGGTTTTTACGGCGAGCTTGGGGCCAAAGACCCTGGGGGCGGGAGAGGCCTATCCGCCTGGGAGACTCTCCTCTCTCCCTGAAAGCCGCCGCCACCGCGGGCAGGGGGGACAGAGGGACAGAGGACGGTCCTCCTGATTGCCGTGTCACAGCCCTGCACCCACAGTCTTGGGACAGACTCCTGGGTTCCTCAGGCCTTCCTCCGGCCCTGAGTAAGTGTGAGATCCGTGGGAAACATGGCTCGGGAATTATAATACTGTACATGGCTCTGGGTGGAAGCCTTGGAAACTTCTTTAATTCGCTGCCGCCTCAGCTTTGTCATTTTAAGATGGCCATCAGTCCGGCTGGTGTGGCTCAGTGGTTGAACATTGACCTATGAACCAGGAGGTCACGGTTTGATTCCTGGTCAGGGCACATGCCTGGCTTTCAGGCTCCATTCCCCAGTGGGGGGCGTGCAGGAGGCAGCCGATCCATGATTCTCTCTCATCATTGGTGTTTCTCTCTTTCTCTCCCCCGGCCCCCTTCCTCTCTGAAATCAATAAAAATATATGAAAAAACAAAATGAAAAGGTGATCAGAGGGGTTACCTGGCTGGTGATGGAGACAGGTAACCGGTACGCGTGCTGCTGGGTGTGGCGGAGCAGCCTCGCAGCGGGTGGCACAAATGCTTTGCCACGATCCTCCTGGCTCTCACCAGCACCCTGAGGAGGGCGCTCCGCTTGCTCAGACAGCACCCCTGGGCCAGGATGGCACACTCAGTGCGCTGTGCCGGCTGCTGAGCAGGCCCTCAGGCCCTCGTTGGAAGGGCTCCTGACTGTACAAGACAGAGCGGGCGGTGACCCGAGAGCCCTCCCGCGTCAGTGTGCCCGGCGGCCGGGTGACTCCAGGGCAGAGAGCACACTTCTGTCTGAGCACATGTGACAGGGCCAGCGCTGAGGTCCCTGAGGCTCCAATGGCACAGGCCCCAGGCCCCCTGATCCTCAGGAGGGGCCCACCTCCATGGGGCCGCCATTGGCCTGGCACCCTGGGGGGGCGAGGGAGGGTTGTGTGTCTGGGGAGTGCTGCTGGGTGCTGTGGGGGCCCCTCCCCCTGCAGCCAGGAAGGGAGGAACCATGGAATGGAGGCCTCGTCCCCTGGAGGTCAGCTCAGGAGACCCCGTGGAGAGGAGCTTCACTCTGACGGAGGGTCCAGGGGCTTCTTTCTTTCTTTCTTTTTTTGGTAAATTTCATTTTATTTTTAAATATATATATATATATATATATATATATATATATATATATATATATTTTTTTTTTTTTTTTTACAGAGAGGAAGGGAAAGGGATAGAGAGCTAGAAACATCGATGAGAGAGAAACATCCATCAGCTGCCTCCTGCACGCCCCCTACTGGGGATGTGCCCGCAACCAAGGTACATGCCCTTGACCGGAATCGAACCTGGGACCCTCCAGTCTGCAGGCCGATGCTCTATCCACTGAGCCACACCGGTTAGGACCAGGGGGCCTTCTTGAACAGAGACCCATCAAGGGGAGGGCTGCAGGGGAGTCCCCAAGCTCAGGGTGGGCATCAGGGTGGGCATTGGGTGTGGGCGAAGGCCACCGCACCAGCCAGGTGAGCGAGCTCACGTGCTCCCTACCGCCCTCTCCCCTCTTCCCGCCTCTTCCTAAGGCCGTCTCCAGCCCTGGCCGAACTCAAGGTCAAGGGCTCCCACGACAGATGCTGTGCTTTTGGCCCAGAGTAAGTTTCTGGTGCTAGGGAAGGGCAGAGGGGCACAGTTAGTTTCTCCTCTTTCTTTGAGTGGGGGACAGAGAAACAGCATGGAACTCAGTGCTATGCACCCAGCAGTCAGTTCACTCCCCAGAGATGCAATTGCGTGTCTTGCAAGAAATAACAGCAAACAGACCTTCCCTCGCGTTTCCTCCACCTCTGACTTCCTCGCAGAAGAAACATGTCGGGACTTCAGGAAATGTTTCCCATCTATTAGTCATGTAATCAAGTGAGATCTCTTTTTCATGCAGCTGCAAGTCCTGAGGGATCATTAACAGATGGCAATATGTCCTAACCGGTTTGGCTCCGTGGGTAGAGCATCGGCCTGCGGACTGAAAGGTCCCAGGTTCAATTCTGGTCAAGGGCATGTACCTTGGTTATAGGCACATCCCCAGTAGGGGGTGTACTAGGGGCAGCTGATATATGATTCTCTCTCATCGATGTTTCTAACTCTCTATCCCTCTCCCTTCCTCTTTGTAAAAAATCAATAAAATATATTTAAAAACAAACAAACAAACAAACAAATAACAGATGGCAATGATATGGGAGCCTTGGCCAGGCTGATTGGACTCCTGGCAGGTGTCTGAGAAGGAAGCAGGATGGGTTTGGACAGAATAAAGGAGGCTGTCTTCTGAACATTAATAAATAAAGGTAAATCTGCCTAAATGAAGACACCTCCCCTCTTCAAACAGCAGGTTATCTGTGACAATACCTACGGGAATAAGCCGTTTCTACAGCGGCAGGAGTAATCATGATCAGGTTGGAAAGCATGCGGAGAAAACACAATCCATTAAGGCAGTAATTTAGTCCAACAGCCTGTCATTAGGTCGGAAGGGATTTTGTAATATTCAGAAACCCGGCCGGCGGCTGTGGACTCGGGATTTCCTGGGGGAGGACAGAGGGCAGGCTCCCCCAGCGCAGCCCCGGGGGAAGAGGGAGGGGGAAGCAACGAAGGTCCCCCTAAGGAAGGTGCTGGAGTGGGTAGGCCAGAAGCTCCCGGAAAGTTCCATCACTCCACAGCTTCCTGTGTGACTTTTATTTTTATCTTTTGCCCACGCTTGTCCCAAACTGAAATAGATATCGTGGCACAAATCTTACTCATTCAGTGTTATATGCTGGTTAATAGCTGCCTGTAATTAATTAATTGATTTAAAAAATATATTATTGTAACAATATGAACAATAAAGATTGATTTAAAAAAAATAAAAAAAATAAAAAATATATTATTGATTTTTTACAGAGAGCAAGGGAGAGGGAGAGAGAGTTAGAAACATCAATGAGAGAGAAACATCGATCAGCTGTTTCCTGCACACCCTCCACTAGGGATGTGCCTGCAACAGAGGTACATGCCCTTGACCAGAATCGAACCTGGGACCCTTCAGTCCACAAGCCGACGCTCTATTCACTGAGCCAAACTGGTTTCAGTCACCTTTAATTTACTGATTTAGTGCTTTTATTCGTAATATCTTTGTTAGGTTGATGGTACAAACATTAATTAAAAAGCAAATGTGTGATTACCATTTATATATGTGTATATGTAATTTATATATAATTTTCTTCATGTTAAAATTTTAAATTATTTAATATTAATTTTATATTTATAATTAATATAACATGTACAATCAAATCACCACCAAAACCAAATTGTACAGAGTTTGTTTTTTGGTGATGATTTGATTCCGGGGTTTAAGCATTCCTACGTGCCTTACTTTCCTCTAACTAAGAGGTACTAATACTCTGGCTCTGGCTGGGTGGCTCTGTGGGTTGGAGTGAGTTTGATTTTCCATCAAGGCACATACCGAGGTTGTGGGTTCGATCCCAGGTCAGGGTGGGTGTGGGAGGCAACTGATCAATGTTTCTCTCTCACATCAATGTTTCTCTCTCTCTCTCTCTCTCTCTCTCTCTCTCTCTCTAACGATAAATAAGAACATATCTTGGGTGAGGGTTTAAAAAAAGAAAGAAATAGCACTCTACTAGAATACTCATGTCCTTGATAGAATCATACACTTTTGCCAAAATGAATAAAATCATTTTTTTGCATACTAATCTCTATGAAAGGAATTGGATTTGCCAAAAGAGGGTTTGACAAGGGCATGTGCTTTCACAGCTCTTGTTTGGAATTCTCAAAGTCTACTCTGCTGATCAATAAGTTCTAGGAACACAACCAGGGACCTCATGCCCTATAGACCGTTTTAATGACTGGATTTCATCACTAAGCAATATTCAGAGGGCTTAAAAATTGTTCTTTTTAAAAATTAAGATATTGGATATTTTTGTGTAAAAAATACTTATTTAAAATTTTAATCTTAGTTTTAAAAATTGGGCATATTTTGCCTCTATTTTCTTTAGCTTGTTCTGAATCTAGTTTGTGCAAATGAGTTCTTTACATTTTTTTTTTTACCTTAAATAAACAGCGTATGAATCTACTTACAATATTTTTATTGATTTCAGAGAGGAAGGGAGAGGGGGAGAGAGAAACATCAATGATGAGAGAGAATCATTGATCGGCTACCTCCTGCATGCCCCACACTGGGGATCGAGCCGAAACGCGGGTGTGTGCCCTGACCAGGAATTGAACCATGATCTCCTGGTCCATAGGTCAGTGCTCAACTGAGCTATCCCACCTGGGCCAGTGAACTAGAATTTCATCTGAGTCTGTGCAGATGGAGAGCTGGGCACAGTCTTGCGCAGAGGAGAGAGTCACTGAGTAAGTGTGACTGAGGTTGTTCAAGTCTGTGGGCCAGAGTCTGCTGTAACTCATTCACCAGGGATTATTCGAGAGGGCATCCCACATTTCTGGGCGTGAGTTCTTTGGCTGAAGAGAGAAAACTGTAACTGTTTCTGGAAAGGAGTTCTAAGCTTTAAGGATGGTCACCTCCATCGGAAGTGATTGGCGTGAACCAGGGGCTGAGGAAGGCGCTGTGGCCTTCTCTCCCAGGTGTGGCTGTCAGAGGCGGAGCGAGCAGGAAGGGAGAAATCCCTGGGAGAACAGGATGTTGCACTGTGTTCCTCCTGAACCCCAGCAAAACCACCCACCAGCTTTTCCCCTTTCCCCTGTCCTTCCCCCACATCTCCCCGTGGGCTCTCCGTGTCCTGTACTGGGAGAGCTACTTTTGTGAATAAGAACGTGACTCGTGTTCCTATTTCATAACTGTGACTAAGTGCGTCTTAGTGTGGGCAAACTTGGTTTTTGAGTTTCATAGTGAACTCACTTTTTTCTCTTCTCTCAATCATCATGTTTCTTCATAACCCATTCTTATTTATTTTTTGGCATTAAAGCTTAACAAAGAAGATTTCACACAGAAGCCATGATCAAAGCATGTCTGTTCTTATTGGGTTGGCTATACCATGATTTAAACATTGGTGAGATTAGCCCTAACTGGTTTGGCTCAGTGGATAGAGCCTCGGCCTGCGGACTGAAAGGTCCCAGGTTCGATTCCGGTCAAGGGCATGTACATTGGTTGCAGGCACATTCCCAATAGGAGATATGCAGGAGGCAGCTGATAGATGTTTACCTTTCACAGTTGTTTCTAACTCTCTATCTCTCTCTATTCCTCTCTGTAAAAAAATCAATAAAAATATTTTAAACATTGGTGAGATTAACATTTCAGAATTTATGTAATCACTCCGTTTACCCTTTATAATGAAGAGGCGTGGTTCTATTATTTGTTGTTGTTGTTGTTTAAATACTTTGTGAAATTATTTGTGTTGTATGGTGTAGTTGGAGAAAGGATTTAATTTATGTAAATATAAACAAAGCATTTAAAAAAACGAGTCTAATCGTTACCTGTCTCTCCTTTGATCAGATTAGGAAAAAACAGCAAGAAGTGGTGGGCTTTCTGGAAGCGAATAAAATCGACTTTAAGGAATTAGATATAGCTGGAGATGAAGACAACCGGAAGTGGATGAGAGAGAACGTCCCCGGAGAGAAAAAACCTCAGAATGGGATCCCTTTGCCCCCCCAGATCTTCAACGAAGAGCAGTATTGTGGGGTGAGTGAGGGGTTTCTTGGAAAATTCTTCCGTATCTGTGTTTCTCAGAAACTGTTTAAAGCAGATTACTTTTGAGGCAGCATTTGGAGATGTTCACAACTTTCAGGTTATGACCTATTTCTTTCTTCTTTTTAAAAAAAATATATTTTATTGATTTTTTTTACAGAGAGGAAGAGAGAGGGATAGAGAGTTAGAAACATCGATGAGAAAGAATCATCGGTCAGCTGCCTCTTGCACATCCCCCACTGGGGATGTGCCTGCAATCAAGGTACATGCCCTTAACCAGAATCGAACCTGAGACCTTCCAGTCCGCAGGCCGACACTCTATCCACTGAGCCAAACCGGTTTCGGCTCATGACCTATTTCTACCATCCAATGCCTGGATGGTAGAGCCATGGTGACTAAGCAGCATTTAAGATTTACAAGATGATGGAAACAACAGAAGGATGATTCAGAAGTTCTTGGGATTATTTTAGGTCCCTTATTTCATTTTGAAGAATTGAGGTCAGTTGTTCAAACAAAATGAGCCTTCAGTTGGCGAGGAGTTCTCGTTCCCCTGGCAGTGGACACGTATATGCACCCACAAAAACACTGGGTAAGTTTTCACTTGCATAAGGAGTGATTTGCAGAAGCCAGGTCTTCCTATGGATGCAAAAAAAAAATCAAAAAAAAAATCGTGTAAATGTGTCTAAGTAGTTTAAAAACTGTACTGGACATTCTGATAACAACAGCATTTTTTTTTCTATATTTAATGGTTCATTTTGCTATAAAATCACTTTTTCTTTGGAATTTACAGATTCTATTTAGTAAATCGAATTGTTGAAAAGACAAATTTAAAAACTCAGAGGACTTCTGAAACCGGTTTGGCTCAGCGGTAGAGCGTCGGTCTGCGGACTGAAAGGTCCCGGGTTCGATTCCGGTCAAGGGCATGTACGTTGGTTGTGGGCACATCCCCGGTAGGGGGCGTGCAAGAGGCAGCTGGTCGATGTTTCTCTCTCATCGACGTTTCTAGCTCTCTATCTATCTCTCTTCCTCTCTGTAAAAAAATCAATAAAATATATTTAAAAAAAATTAAAAAAAAAACAAAAAACACAAAAAAACCCTCAAAGGACTTTAGGATCTGAGAATTGGAAGTTATTTTAGGGGTCATCTAAGGTCATTGTTCTTTTATTTTTTTACTAGAGGCCCGGTGCACAAAATTTGTGCACTGAGGAGGGTGTCCCTCAGCCTGACCTGTGCCCTTTCACAGTCCAGGAGCCCTTGGGAGCTCCCACCACGGCTGCTGCACTCACCAACTCTGGCTGAGCAGCACTCCTCCTTTGGGAGAGCACTGACCACCAATGGGCAGCTCCTGTGTTGAGTGTCTGCCCCCTGGTGGTCAGTGCACATTATAGCGACCAGTCATTCCACCATTTGGTCGATTTGCATATTAGCCTTTTATTATATAGGATTTTATTTTTAAAATACTAAACATTTTATTTTTAATATTATTCTTTCTTTTTTTTCTTTTTTTTTACAGAGAGGAAGGGAGGGGGATAGAGAGTTAGAAACATCAATGAGAGAGAAATATCGATCAGCTGCCTCCTGCACACCCCCTACTGGGGATGTGCCTGCAACCAAGGTACATGCTCTTGACCGGAATCGAACCTGGGACCTTTTAGTCTGTAGGCTGATGCTCTATCCACTGAGCCAAACCAGTTAGGGCAGTCACTGTTCTTTCTAAAAAATATAGGAAACGAGGGGGTCGGGGAGGAGATATCAAATGGTACAACTACAATACATATGTGCCCGGACCAGGAATCAAACCTGCCACCTTTCAGTGTACAGGATGACACTCACCCAACCGAGCCACACGGGTCAGGGCCTGCTGGGCACTGGTCAGATGCAGCGATCAGGGCTCTGGGAACCAAGGAACTGATCAGTGTGCGCTGCTCCTCGGCTGGAACGGGGTGAGGGAACCTTAGCTCACGTGTTCTCTTTCTCCTGCACAGAACGGCTGGTGCTTTAGGCCAGCTTCTCTGTTATTTATTTCTCATCTAAAGGATGTAGCTGGAGGGCCAAGGCCTGCAGCTAACACTTCAGTCCGGTGTTACTGGGACACGTCCGCACCGACCCGTTTACCTGTTGCCCATGGTGGACTGCTTGCCAAGGCAGGGTGGAGTAAAAGTTCTGAGGATTTTCTGCTATAAATAAAACCTTAAAGGCCTGTCTCATCCTGTTTTGTTGTGATCTAGCACTAATAATTTTTTTTTTTTTTAGTTGTGGAGGAGAAAGAAAGGGTGTTTCAAATAAGAAAAAACAAAACAAAACACCCTTATATTTTACAAATGTATTTTCCTCTTACAAATATGGGTCTAATCAGATGAGCATTCAAATTATTCTGTGTTTTAAAATAATTTTTTTTTTCAGCACGTTCTGCCTTCACAGAAAAATTAGCAGCTTATCTTACTAGTGTTTTTGCTAAATTGGTTTTCCTGCAGCCTGTGGGTAGCCGATCAATGATTCTCTCTCATCATTGATGTTTCGCTCTCTCTCTCCCTCTTCCTTTCCCTCTGAAACCTATACAGGTACATTCCTGAGGCAGCGGGCTTTGTGTCCAGAGTAGGTAAAAATGATAATGTAGCCCTAACCGGTTTGGCTCAGTGGATAGAGCGTTGGCCTGTGGACTCAAGGGTCCCATGTTTGATTCCGGGCAAGAGCATGTACCTTGGTTGCAGGCACATTCCCAGTAGGGGGTGTGCAGGAGGCAGCTGATCCATGTTTCTCTCTCATCGATGTTTCTGTCTATCCCTCTCCCTTCCTCTCTGTAAAAAATATATAAAATATACTAAAAAAAGCCCCACCCTATTTTCATAAAAAAAATTCTTTATTTATTTTATTTTTTTTTAATTTTTTTAAAATAAGTTTTTATTGTTCATATTATTACAAATGTTCCTTTTTCCCCCCCACCATTGCTCTCCTCCACCAGGTTCCCACCCCACCCTCTGCCCTTTCCCCACTCCCCATTGTCCTCATCCATAGGTGCACAGTTTATGTTCAGTCTATTCCCATGCCCCCCCTCTCCCTTTTTCCCCAAGAATCGTCAATTCACTCCCCTTCCATACCTCTGATTCTATTATATTCAACAGTTACTATTGTTCATTAGATTTTTTTTAATTTCCTTGGTTTTTAATTCACTTGTTGATAGTTACGTATTTGTTGTTCATAATTTTTATCTTTGTTTACTTTCTCTTCTGAAAGAACCCCCTTCAGCAATTCATATAATTCTGGTTTGGTGGTGATGAGCTCCTTTAGCTTTTTTTAATTAGTGAAGCTCTTTATCTGACCTTCGATTCTGAGTGATAGCTTTGCTGGATAGATTATCTTTGGCTGTAGGTTCTTACTATTCATCACCTTGAATATTTCTTGCCATTCTGTCTGGCCTGCATGGTTTCTGTTGAGAAGTCAGCTGACAATCGTATGGGTGCTCCTTTATAGGTAACTACCTTCTTTGCTCTTGCTTCTTTTAATATTCTCTCTTTGTCTTTTGCTCTTGGAATTTTAATAATGATGTGTCTTGGTGTGGTCTTTTTTGGATTCCTTTTGTTTGGAGTTCTGTGCGCTTCCTGGACTTGTAAGTCTAATTCTTTCCCCAGGTGGGGGAAGTTTTCTGTCACTATTTCTTTCAGTATGTTTTCCACATCTTGCTCTCTCTCATCTTCTGGGACCCCCATAATTCTGATGTTGGTTCACTTGAAGTTGTCCCAGAGGTTTCTTACATTATCTTCAATTTTCTGGATTCTCTTGCCTTCTAGCTTCTGTGGAGGAGTGTCTTCTGGCTCCTAATGTTCCAAATCTTTGACTTGATTCTTGCGATTTTCCATTCTGTTTTTAGGACTCTGTATAATATTTTTCACTTCAGTCAATGTATTCTTTATTTCTTGTTGATCCCTTATCATTTCGTGTTGATCCTTTATCATTTCTTGATGACTCCTTATTAATTCTAGTTGATCTCTTTTCATATCCTCATAAGTCTTATCCATCTTTTCTAGGAAATTCTTGAAAAACCTTATAAGCGTAGATTTGAACTCTATATCCAGACGCTTTTTGTCCTCCATTTCTTTCGTTTGTGATCTATTTCGTTGTCGCATTTCGCAGTTACAGATGGGGCGGGGTTTCAGGGTGGAGCCTGCAGCTTTGGCTTCGGTCAGCCCCGCCCTATGCGGGTCCTTCAGTGCTCACTGCCGGCGCCTCTGAGAGAAAGGTGCCCTCGATTTTCGCCTGCTGCCAAACAGTCTATCCTCTCCCCCAATGAGCCCGGTATTGGGGTTCAGTTCAGTTGGAAGTGGAGTAGGAGGTGGCGTTCACAGCAGTCTGGAGCCCCAGTCTCCTTCCAGTCAGGGAGATCCCGCGGCTCAGCCGACTGTCCCTTCTCTGCGCGCAATGTGCGCACCGTCGGGACCTCCTTTCGCCACTTCCCCGGGGTTCCGCCTTACAGCCCGGCTCCCTATGGCAGAGCCTGAGTCCCCGGGGTCTGGCCCAGAACCGGGTTCAGAGCAGTTGGGGGCCCAGCACAGTAGGAGCTTTTCTCTCCTTTCCGCTAGGGAACACCCGCCAGGCACTCGGCCTCCCTCCTCTCCGGCTCCGTCCTCTCCGCGCCGCGTCTCCGTACCTTGGCTTTTCCAGCTCCTCCGCGCCTCCTTCTGGTTTTCTCCTTGCTTCTCGCTGTAGAATTTCCAGTCAGTCAACCTTCCTGTAGTTCTGGGCAATGTCCGTTTTATATTTTAGTTGTTTTTTATTGAAATTGTTGTGTGTGGCTGCGGCTAGGTGTTCACCTGAGCGCAGCCATCTTGGATCCTCAAAAAAAATTCTTAAGAAAATGATAATGTGTACTGTAGGTTTAGATTTTCAGAAGAAAACTCAAAGGACCCGAAGGACATGCCTGTTTTAAAATGGCACAAATCTGGGTGGTTCGTCACTGAATCTTTCTGCTCTCGAAATGTGCACTGTGAGACAAATTCTATTATTTAATGTGAAGCCTGGTCTCTGCGGGTCTCCGATGGCCACTGAGGGGCCAGACCTGGTGCGGCCGCAGGTGGAGGGGGCTCAGGGCCGGTCTCTGTGCCGGGCTGTGGGAGGGCTGCATGGCAGGGCAGTGCCCGGGCCTGGGAGGTGCCCACGGTCTGACCCGCTGCTCGGGCAGCATGGATGGAGATGTTATCCCGGGCCTGGCAGGCAGCTGTCAGCTGGGAAAGGAGACACCCGCTGGGGAGCCAGGCCCAGAGGAGGCCAGAGGAAGCCGCTGACGTGTCTGTCGCTGCCAAATGGGAGCCTGTGCGTCTTCGCCCCGGTGAGGGCAGGGTGCCTGTCCGGATCCCAGCACACCCAGGGGGCACCTTGGCCATTCAGCAGAGGGGCCGTGTCCTCAGGGCTGCCAGGGAGGGCAGGACGAAGCCCAGTTAGGTGGGGGGAGGACTTTTCAACACGTGGATGCCATTACATTTTATGTCATTAAAAATGATTATGAGCCTGGCTGGCGTGGCTTAGTGATTGGGCACTGACCTATGAACCCAGAGATCGTGGTTTGATTCCTGGTCGGGGCATATGCCCGGGTTGTGGCCTCCATCCCCAGTGTGGGGTGTGCAGGAAGCAGCCAATCAATGATTCTCTCTCATCATTGATGTTTCTGTCTCCCTCTCCCTCTCAACTTCTTCTCTAAAATCAATAAAAAATATATATATTTTAAAATTATTATGAAATATGACATATGACAATAACATGTGTAAAGGTAAGTAATCAGATGAATAACCACATGCGCACCACCCAGTGTTAGAGGTTGATGTGCACAGACATGTAGACGCCCCATGTGCTTCTCCCCGTCATGCGCTCCTCCCTCTGCACCGGGGGCAGCATGCAGTGAACTGCGTGTTTATAATTTCCTTTCTTTATCTGAAGTGTGTGTGTGCCTAAGGAATACATTGTTTTGTTTTGCCTATTTTTTTAAACATATATATATATATATATATATATATATATATATATATGTATATGTATATATTTAATATATTTTATTGATTTTGTACAGTGAGGAAGGGAGAGAGAGAGTTAGAAACATCGATGAGAGAGAATCATCAGCTGCCTCTTGCACACTCCCTACTGGGGATATGCCCGAAACCAAGGTACATGCCCTTGACCGGAATCGAACCCGGGACCTTTCAGTCCCAAGCCAACACTCTATCCATTGAGCCAAACTGGTTTCGGCTGTTTTGCCTATTTTTTATTTTATTTTTTTTGTTAATCTTCACCTGAGAATATTTTCCCATTGATTTTTTAAGGAGGGTGGAAGAGAGAGGGCAAGACAGAGAGAAACATCGATGTGAGAGAAACACATAGATTGGCTGCCTCCTGCACGAACCCGGATGAGGGCCCTGGCTGGGAAGGAGCCTGCAACCAAGGCATATGCCCTTCACTGGAATCGAACCCAGGACCCTCCGCAGGTTGACACTCTATCCACTGAGCCAAACCTGCCAGGGCGGTTTTGCCGATTTTTGAGCTTTATATAAATGGACTCATATTGCGTGTATTCTTCTTTGACTTGCTTCTTTTTTTGTTGTTGTTAATCCTCACCTGAGGATATTTCCCCATCGATTTTTAGAGAGAGTGGAAGAAGGGGGAGAGAAAAACATTGATGTGAGAGAGACACATCGATTGGTTGCTGCATACGCCCTGACCAGGGCCAGGATCAAGCCTGCAACTGAGGTTTGTGCCCTAACTTCCCACAACTGCCCTCCCCTGTAGCCATCTTGTGGTGGCCATCTTGAGTCCACATGGGAGCAGGATCTTTGACCACATGGGGGCGGCCATCTTGTGTCTTGGTGTGATGGTCAATTTGCATATTACTCTTTTATTAGATAGGATTTGTTTATATTAATTTCAGAGAGGAAGGGAGAGGGAGAGGACCATCAGTGATGAGAGAGAATCATTGATTGGCTGCTTCTTGCACACCCCCCTCCCACTGGGGTTCAAGCCCTCAACCTGGGCATGTGCCCTGACCAGGAATCGAACCATGACCTCCGGGTTCACAGGCCGACACTCAACCACTGAGCCATGCCAGCTCGGCGACTATATGGTTTTAGAGCACAGTTGTCCCCATTTTGCCAAAACAATCTTTGCATTAAGCCCTCCATCATCCTGTGGCTCCTGCTGTCAGAAAGTGTGAGAGGAATCTGGGCCCTTAGAAGCTATTCTGATATCAGCAGAGAAATCCTGTGCTGTTTCAGTCTCCGCTGGCCAGCTCCCATCCATGGGGCCACGTGGTGAGGAAATCAGCCAACGATGTGAAAGTCCTGGAGAAGCTTTTACTGTGTATAGCTGAGTCTTAGCAGTTCCTGAGCATGAAGAGTGCTTGTGTGTGTGTGTGTGTGTGTGTGTGTGTGTGTGAGTTCTCACTACACTGTAACAGGCACAAAGTGTGTAAAAACAAATGTCAAGTTCACAGTTAAAGTTCTTAACTTTTGATTAGTCATCTTTGGCCAAGCAAATGGGCATAACATTTTGTGTTGGCTCCTAACTTAATGGGAAATAAAAAAAGAGATCAACTTAAGTAAAAATCCTGGCTCATAGGTGTGCAATGGTTAAGCATTCTTTTTCTTTGTTTCAAGGATTTTGACTCTTTCTTCTCTGCAAAAGAAGAGAATATTATCTATTCATTCCTTGGTTTGGCTCCCCCTCCAGGCTCGAAGGTAAGCTGGAACACCCTATGGGGTCCCAGGACAGGTCCTAATGAATGAAACTAGAGATCAGCACCTAAGGTTGTTTAATAAATGAGGATATTTAAATCAACAGGATTTTAATACACTCCTTATTCTGATGAAGTCTTATGCATAAAGATAATGCAAGCTTTTTACTAACCCATGTTCCAAAACTGTGCTTTTCTTGTTTTTGCTTCATTATATTTTATTATATGATAAAAATAAATAATAAGTGAAAATTTACAATGCTTAAAAAAAGAAATATCATTGCATTCAATAGTCTTAAGTGTTCTAATTAAATATGCAAAAATATGAGTTCCCAGGTTGTGTTTATGAAATTTTGTTATGGATTGACTTCTTATATAACTTCTTATATTAGTTAATTCTCTAATGATACATCCACTATTTTAATTTTTCTTTATTTAACACGTTAAGTGCCCAGTCACTGGTGACTGACACTATACTTTCTGTCTGGAAGACAAAACAGGCTGGACGCTTAACGTGTTAAATAAAGTAAACTCTGCTCTTTTAATCTAATAAAGAGGGGGAAAATAAGATCTGGATTCAAGATCAAGATAAATTTTATTAGTTTTCTCCCCGCTGGTGCTGTTTCATCTTTGATGAGGTGTAATCATGTCTATTAAATAAAGAATTATGCTAATAAAGTTAATATCATGAATTCCTCTATGATGTTTACCGGCTTCACCCTATGCAATGGCCACTGCATTCCTTGCCTCTAACCAAGACCTCATACAGGCCTCTCCGTAGATACAAGACCTTTCTTTCTTAATTCATTTGTTTGTTTGTACCCACCTTCATTTTTAAAGAGATTTGTGATGACAGAGCCAAACCTGTCCTCACAGAGGAGAAACCACTCAAAACCTGACCGTGTAGAGATGGGCTTGCCTCAGAGGCCGGCTCTCACATGTCAGCAGTCTCAGGTGATGGCACTGAGGCCTGGCACTAAGGCCTTCTCAGGTTGTCACATGCAGGTTCCACTGCTGTTTTTGAAGATTTGCTTGCTCAGAATTTTTTAGTATACAGAACCCTGCAGGGATTGTTGTCATAAAATAGCACCCTTTCTTCTGAATGTTTCTTTCTTTCTTTCTTTTTTTTTTTTTTTATAGAAACATATTTTTATTTATTTATTTTTAAATATATTTTATTGATTTTTTACAGAGAGGAAGGGAGAGAGATAGTCAGAAACATCGACGAGAGAGAAACATTGACAAGCTGCCTCCTGCACACCTCCTACTGGGGTTGTGCTCGCAACCAAGGCACATGCCCTTGACCAGACTCGAACTCAGGACCTTTCAGTCCGCAGGCAGACACTCTATCCACTGAGCAAAACTGGCTTTGGCTTCCAAATGTTTCTTCAGGGCACATTCCCAGTGGTGCTTTCAGCAAGGCAGGCCAAGGTGAACCCTGGGCATATTATGGGCTTGAAATGTGACTGTGGATTGCCCCCTGGCAGGACTTACTGTGTGTCCTGCCGCACCACGCTGCCCCCGCCTCATTGAGCCACCCGGGAGCACGCTCAGTCGCCTTGATTTTAGGGCCATCAGATTGGATTGTAAAAATTGGTTTCTGCCCTAACTGGTTTGGCTGTAGGAGGTGTGCAGGAGGCAGCGGATGGAGGTTTCTCTCTCACTGATATTTCTAACTCTCTATTATCAATAAAATATATTTTTTAAAAATTGGTTTCTGATTTTATTGCACTACGGAGAAGGAATGTGGCGTGCTGAATGTCTATCACCTTTGTAACGCAATGTGTGGTTTTACTTCCTTATGAAAAGACTGTTCTGAATATTAAAAATTAGTCTTCTTATCAAGCTGATGTGTGTATGTTGGGAAGGACAAATACTACTACAAGGATTATTGGAAAAGGCGCAGCTCTGCTCCTTTCCTGCTGGTTAGCGTTTTCTCCAGCGGTTGCTCAGGGGCAGGATGCTGGTGGACGTCGTTTGGCTCGGAATGGAGAAGGCGCGGCCGCTCCGTGTTCTCTGGTCCCAGCGCTGCCGCTCAGAGGCTTGATGCCAGTCTGTCTCCTGACCATTTATTTGCTTTTGTTCCCATTTCTGGGAGGTTTTAGGGCCCTCTTTTTCATTTTGAAGGCCCTAAATGAGGTGCTCGGATCCGCCTTTTCTTCATTGCTTGTGCTGGGCCCTGGCCCGGCCCTCTGCTGTAGAGGATAGACCTGCTCATTTGGAGGGGGAGGCAGACATTACAGAGAAATCACAAGGTCACACTGTTTCTCTCTCCACCCCTGGTCCCCTCCCTCCTTGGGAGCCACCAATACCATGAATTAAAAAAAAACCCCACACCTATTTATTAATAAACTATATGTTTATCTCCACCAGCAATACATATGTTCGTCTGTATTTTTAGTGCCAAATTGGTATCATATTTTTTGGAATGCTCTACAACTTGCTCAAAACAACAACAACATTGTTTTAAGATGTATCCGTGCTAAAATAAGTAAATGTATTTCAGCTTCTGCTACTAAAATATGTGAATGTGTTTCGTCTTATTCCATTTAAAAACATTCCCTCTCTTCCTCTTGGGGAAAGAGAAAGTCACACAATGTGACGGCACCTCATCACGCACCAGGGCGGGCGCTGTCACATCGCATGCCATCCTCTCTCACCGCGTGGCAGAGGGGGAAGGCCAGGGAATGAGAAACCCGCCCAGAGAGACCCTGGAGGAGGAGCGCGAGGCTCGTCTCGTCCACCAATTAGTGGCACAGCCGGCGGGGCCGTGGTGCTGTCAGTGCTCACAGGTGTTTATGTGTGCACACGGGAGAGTCCTCCACGTTTCCCTTGGGAAGACAGACCCCTGATGATTGATGGGGGTAATATGACAGCATCTCCGTAAATCATCCATCGTCAGAGTGTCCTTTTGTAGTAAACAACATTGTGGAGAAGTCAGCAAGGAAGTTAATCTTGTGCTAAGGCTAAAAATAGACATTGGACAGTTGGGTAGAAGTGTATGCTTCTACCAGCAGCGTTACTGCTTTAGCCAACGTGTCTGGTCTGGGGCAGGTTAGATGAGACCAAGCGGCAGGCCAGTTTTCCCAGGAGGCTTTGTCAGGGCGCTTTGCTGCCATAAAGTCCACCCTGGTTCTTTACAAGCATCTGGTCACATTTGATTAAACGAGCGCCATTCCTCATCCCACACTCCAGCCAAGGCCTTGGTTGCATAACCAGGCTCCAATGATGCCCTGGGAATAAGGAACACAGATTCTTACTGAGCCAGGCATGTAACTGTATCGCCATACCTAGTGAAAGGACACAATAAGAATTTTTAAATTCTGGAGGGGTCAGGTGGAGAGAGTAACAGGTACAAACATTTCATTTCAACTTATGAAAGCAGAGTCTGTTACATTGTTATGATTTATAAGAAGTGTAAGAGGAAGAACAGAGGGCTTCCTTATAAATGCAGAATGTAGAACGTGAAGGTGATGTCAACAGCATTCCAAACAAAACAACCATCATCCCTCATCAGTTCATTCGGTCCCGTGTAGTTGATTCTTGCTCCGCTGGGTGTGGGGATAGGAGTCTATGAACCCGCCTGCCCCTTGACTGCAGCTGTGGAAACCCGGACTTAGCCACTGGTCTGGCCTCAAAGTCCTGTAAGTGATGCCGTCAGAAGCCTGTGCCCCCCAGCACATAGCATGTAATTTTTTTAAAAAAATATATTTTATTGATTTTTTACAGAGAGGAAGGGAGAGGGATAGAGAACTAGAAAAATTGATGAGAAAGAAACATCGACCAGCTGCCTCCTGCACACCCCCTACTAGGGATGTGCCCGCAACTAAGGTACATGCCCTTGACCAAAATCGAACCTGGGATCTTTCAGTTTGCAGACTGACACTCTATCCACTGAGCTAAACTGGTTTCGGTGGCATGTAATCTTTTTCTGTGGGGCTCTGAGCAGTCATTCTACACAGAAGAGGAACCATATTGGCCTGCAGCCCATTGCAGAAGCTTTTAGGAAAGCATCAAATTCAAACACGCTAAAGAATATACCCATGGATGACAAAAGACCTAAAATGACTGTGGTTAACTTATTAGCAGTAATTTTCAGATACGAAAAGCTTGATGAGAATTATAGCAAGACGAATGCACCTGAGAAGAAATTGGTTTCCCCCCAATGTGGCATGCAAAACAAAATAAAAAGTTAATCCAAGAAAGTTTTAGAAAAATATCTACATACGTAATCACAAAGGCTATTAAAAAAAAAAGACAGCAACAATTATATCTTATTTGTAAAAATGGATGAATATAGGAAAATGTTAATTTTCTAGAGACATACTATACTGCAAATAGCCAAAGAATGTGAACCATGCAATATACCATGAATGCTAAGCATATTCTTACCATATGTGGTAGGGATATGTAAAGACTATCAATAATGAGATCTAGTAGGCCTGGCCCAAGTCACCTGTATATTAATAAAACTGTATGCCGTATGTAGATGACAGGAATCCCCACTGTCCTAGAACACGCTGCCCATATTGTAGTAGTTTTGCCATTGCTCAAAATTGCTTTCAACAGGAACACTAATCCTACCAGAAAACGAGTTTCGAAACCTTTGGTCACACATCAGTTTTGGCTAGATCGAAATGAAGGAAGTAAAGTTATGACCAAGGCAAAGACTGAAGTTATGGTTGCTAACCTGTACCATCATTGTCACATGTCAGGCAAAGAAGCACTAGGATCTGTGTCTTTATGATTTTGCAGTCAGGTGGATATTGTTAGATGCCAGTGGAAGCTGTCCAGGTAAGCCTGTAGAGATCTCCCCCTAACTGGTAGAGACGAGTTGGGCCATGGCAGTGTCAGAGGATTGCATTTACAGAATGCTGTCAGCTGTACTCTTCCACCGGAGTCATTGCCTGGGCAAGGGGCCTGGAGCAGAAGGGGGGAGGGGTTCCCCAGAAAAGCAGCAGAGGGGAGCTCCACATGGATGGCAGCCCAAGCAAGAGTCTGATTGTGTTGTCCTACAGCGCTCGGTTCCCAGTGCCCGGTGCCTGGTGCCTGGTGCCTGGTGCCAGGCTGCCTGCCTCTTCTTCCAGAGGCCGTGGCTATTTTGCTGGCTCTCCCAGGTCAACCCCTGAGATATGCAGGGTAACGCCTGTATGGACTGCTGGGGATCTGAGCAGGAAGGAAAGGTCAAGGTCAGACTCCGTGACATCCTTGCTCACTCGCTGCAGTCTTCTCTTCCTCCCCGTCACCCAGGGCAGCAGTGGGGCTGCTGGGTGAGGATGCCTGATTCCCAGCCCCCCTTCCCCAGAACATCACCCTAAGACACAGACTCAGGCTCCGGGGGGAGGTCCCTGCCTAGATTGCATCTCCCCTGCTTCCCCGGGATTGGCTGGGACCTCCTGGCTCTCCTGCAGGCCCGCCTCCCTCGGTTTCAGGATTTGGTTTGGGTTTCTATCTTCATTATCGTAATGCCTTCCTAGGGGGTTGGAAATAACACTTGTCTCTTGAGAAAAAAATGGGCAAAACATATGTTTGCTTTGTTTACATGCCTTTATTTCCTTGTCTCTAAGGTGTGAGTGGTAGTGACTGTCCTACTGACGGAGGCCTTAGTGCTGTTGCAAAGATAAAATGAGGGACGGAGACACAATAACTGGAAGGGTTAAATGATGTTGAAATGCAAGTGATTATGTCCTCCGAGAAGTTCTCACTCACTTTCTATCCGTCTGACGCAGGTCACAAAGCCGCCGGGGGAGGAGCTGTCCCTGCCCAATGGCGAGGTCATGGGTGAGGCGCAGAGCCCTGCAGAGGTGAGGGCTGGTTTCTTGAACCCTCTTCCCGCAGACCAGTCTCCTAAGAATGCCAGTGTGGTCCTGATCTTTCTGTATCTGTCTGTCCGTTCTCTCTCATCGGTCTATCCTCTCGTCCTTCCTCCCATTCCTCCATTATCTGTGTCTGTCTGTCCACATGTCTAAGCTTTTTTGAATCTCTGAAATGATAAAGCCTTCTTTCCTCATGAGCAACAGAAAACTAACACTGCCTCGACCTTCAGTGGGTAAATGGAGACTCCTCACATGGGGGTGAACCAGATCTGTTGAATCTCACCCAGAGCTCCCATCAGCAGTTTCGATGGGTGGCAACCCTATACCCTCCTTCACTCCTGGCTATCTTGCAGGCCCGAGGAGTGAAGGAGGAAAGCAGAAGGTCCCCAATTTGAACAGCGATTTGAACTGGTGTGCTGCACGAATATGTAAAACGGCAATACCTGGCTATTCAGTCAGGGGCACTGCCCTCTTTTCCCTTAGATTGACAAGTTAAAAAAATGACAGCAGCCAACACAATAGCTGTCTGGTGTGAATGAATCAAAATTATCCTATTAAAAAAAAATCAGATTGGCAAAAAGATAGAATGCTGCAGAAGTTTAGTAGTGAGTGAGGAGGTGGAGAAGGTTGGAGATGGTTGTCTGGGAGCTAAGTGGCCTCAGACAGGAGGCCTCCGTGGGCCTGTGTGAGTGCTCTGTGTCCAGATCAACACCCACAGCGTGTATGGCCTGGGGTTCCTGGGTGCTTGGCTCCGGTTAGTGACACGGGGGGTTTCCTTTATGACCAGGGAACAGAGGAGGCTGGAGAAAGTGGAGAAAACGAGGCACCAAAGGAGGACAAGGAAGATGAGGGCAACCCCGCCGAACCCCAAGAGGAGAAGGTGAGTGTTCGCCTTTGCACGGCGGTCTCACTGGACGCAGCTCTGCTCATGAGCATGTGTGAGCGCCCCCAGGGGCCGGGAGCCCTGGCACAGACTGAGGGTGGAGGTGAGGCGCCAGGAGTCTCACCAGGGAGGAAGCAGGTGATTTTCACCTTCATGTTAACTGCTGTGGTGGAGGTGGGGACGGGGCTCAGAGGAAGGACCTGAACCCAGGTCTGGGTGGGGGGTTGGGGGGAGAGACAGTCTCCACAGGACTTGCGTGGTTTGTGGTGTTGTTAGCTCAGGTGGGTTCCCTATAAAACAAGGGCCTTCTTCCTTGGTCATGATGCCAAGATGGGTGCCAGCTGCTTGCTGACGGGCTGGGCAGCGTTTGGGAGGCAGGTCGGGGAGGACTGAGAAGACATGAACTCCCACTGAAGATGGTCTGCGCTGCAGCTTCAGACCCACCGAGGGGACTTCTGGGTCCCGGACCACCAGGGGGCGTGGGGGGCTAACAGGGCATGTGGATGGTGCCCGGGGAGTGAAGGAGGAAAGCAGAAGGCCCCAGCGTCTGGGCACTCTCTCGGGAGGGTCCTGCAGACCTGGGCATCCCGAGAGCACGAGCCTTCTCCATGCTTCTGAGTGGTTCTCATCAAGGTCCGTGGTTTTAGGGTGTGCTCTCTGCCAGCCCAATCCTCTCCACAGTCTCTGAAGACCGTGGCTGGTTGTGGTCTGTAAATCACCCCCTCAGCTTCCCCACAGCCAGTAGGAGGAGGGGTGCATCCTCGGGGGGAGGTTGGTTGAGGTCCTTGAGGGGCTCCGAGTCTGGCCTCTGTGGAGCCCGAGGACCCAGAGAACCGGGTCTGCTCTGATCCCCAGCCCCAAGGCCAGCTGCCTCCCAGGCCTCTCCCGGCAGCCCACACCACACCTGTCCCCCTCCCCCCATGGCCACGCACCACCTGGCCCCCTTCCCTCCAGCACAGGCTTCCCACCCTGAGGCTCTCGACCAGCCCCTTTAGGAGAGCAACACTGTGTGTTGACCCTTACCTCCGCCTCTCAACAATCAGGTGTTTTTGTTAAAAACAGGCAGGCGAGGTAACGGAGGAGGGAGCAGAAGGGGACGCAGAGGAAGAGGAAGCTGAGAAAGAAGAAGCAGCAGGAGGAGAAGCAGAAGGAGAAGAAGGAGGGGGAGAAGGAGGAGAAGAAGGAGGAGAGGAGACTTAGGCCTTCCTGCCTTATTTCTTCAGTGTTTCCAGGTAGCTTCACCATCCTGGGTGACATTGTTCATTGAGTAGCTCTGTGCTCCGCTCAGTGTGATGGGAGTGGGTTCTAGTGCAGACAGAGGCCTCGCCCCCAGGCCTGGCTGCCCCTCCGGAGCCACAGGGCTGGTGAGCTGCGGACCTGCTGCTCGGGCACCGGGCATGGAAGTCAGGATGACTTCCAGGAAGAAGCGATCCTTTGGGGAAGAGTTTGTTTTGTTCTTATTTCCTCCTCTTTCTCTGCATGACCTTCATGTACTCGAAGGTACAGGCAGTGTCCTGTTACCTGCTTCTCTTACTGACTCTACTGACCACTTACCTGCTTATAGGGGAATGCCAGGGGAGGCCCATGATGGTGGCAATACACTGTAACTTGAAAAAAACCACAAGGCCGCTGCTGATCATGAAAACAAATATGGCTGGGAGATATGTAGTGATAAGAGCCGGGTATCACGTATTCGCTTATAAATATTAACCAGAACACTCATAGGAACACCATGGCGTCGCCTCCGGGCATCTTTGACATGGGCACTTGCTGCCTTGCAGTTTTAAACTTTACTGGCCACGAAAAAGAATTCTGTGATGCTTCCCAGTTTGGTGAGTGTCACAGAAATATAGTCACAAGACAATGACAGCATCTAATGACAGTGGGCACAAGAACATGGGGGAGATGTTCAAATATTGTGGGCTATACAGATAAGAAGGAATGTGTGAACACACCCAAAGATCTAAGTGCTATGAAAACATCTGGTTTTACACATCATATAGCAAACCCCCATGTAAATGTGTAATTATTATTTGACCCTGCAACCAAATTTTAGGGGGCAGCTTGCTTTGGTGCTAGCAGAGTTATTTTTATTAAAAATTTTTTTTTGCCTTTTATTTTTTATTTTTTTACATTTTTTAATTAAATTATTATCTGTGTATATATTTTAACATTGCCCCCGCATAAGCAGAGTTCTTTTTGAAATTTACATGAAAATTAAGTCTCCTTATATTTTTTAAGTCTCCTTAATGTCTATATTATGCCTCTACTGACACACGTGAGACAGATTTGGGGCTGTTGATGTCAGGGGCACGAGGGAAGGAGAGGGAGGGAGGAAGCCCTTAACCAGACAGCAGGTCCCCAGAAGGCTCTCTGATGACGCTCAGAGCCTGTCTAGGGAAGGGTAACAAAGGGCTCAGTAGAAGAAACGAGAAATCCCCGGTGCTTTGTAAATATCCGCTAATGACTCCCCTCTGTGTGCCAGAGACCAGTTTGAATAGCCCGGTCCTCCCCTTACACACGAAAAGCTGACGGAAAAGCTTGGAGCATAATCCATTGTGAGGGAACCTTAGAGCTTGTGAGAGGAGCCATCACAATTTATGAATGGATCAGGAACGTTTCATCACTTATTTATTTATTTATTTATTTAAATATATTTTATTGATTTCTTACAGAGAGGAAGGGAGAGGGATAGAACATCGATGAGAGAGAAACATTGATCAGCTGCCTCCTGCACACCCCCCACTGGGGATGTGCCCGCAACCAAGGTATATGCCCCTGACCAGAATCGAACCCGGGACCTTTCAGTCCGCAGGCCGACGCTCTATCCTCTGAGCCAAACCGGTTTCGGCAGCATATATTATAATTTCTTATCTGCACTTGGGAACAAAGGAGGGTTATGGGGTAATAGGCAAATATTTCCTTGCAGGATAGATAATAAAGGTCATGGAAACATTCGCAGTCTCCCTTTAACAGCTGTCCCTTAACGTCCCCCCTTTCTTTTAGAAAAGCCAAGTCACGAAGCAACACCTCAGCTGTCTTCCCACAAACCAGACTCAACGCACGCTGTGGCCTGACGCTAGCCCCCCTCTCCGTACCCCTGGGGCTCCCCGAGGAACTGGACTCTCTGACACGGTTCGGGGTTCCCGGATCCCTCTTCCTACCACATCGACAAGACGTTCATTGTCAAGACAACACGTGCACACCTTCCTGGGCCTGACACTTTGGGCCTTTGCTTAATTTTCTCTCTTCTTTTTGTTTTGCTCTGCATGAGTAGACCTTCTTACTAATACCCTGAAAAAAAAAAAAAGGATTTCAAAATATGGAATTCCTCTCGGTGTTGTGCCAAGAGTAATTCTTTGTACGGCCTTACGCTACTGTCTCAGAATGAGCTTTCGAAATGTAGTGCCTCCCGGAGAGCAAGCATACAAATAAAGATGAATGGCAAAGATCTTGACCCGAGGTGCACCCGGTGTCTTAGCTTTTGGTCTCCACTCTCTGCCTGAACTCTTGTGTCTGTGGCCACCTCCGAATCCACAGCTGAACTTTCTGTCTGCCTCAGGTGGGCGTTTCCCATCGCCCTGGTTATTTGCTCTGCGTTTTCAGATGCCACTGATGGTCTTGTTACGTCATGTTCTGTATCAAACACTTACCCGGCTGCACCGCGATCGCCCACATGCGTGGGGATAACAGGGAGGACAAATCCATTTGCAGCCCCGGGCCCTTCACATGTTTTTTGTACTGAGGGCGAGGCTGCTGCTTTCTCTCCTGCCATTAGTTGATTGATCTGCAGCCGAGCCGGTCCTGTCATTTTGTCTCCCGATGCCAGAGTGTTGCTCCCGGAGCCGGTCCCGCCGACGGCTGGCTCACCAGGTAGGTGTGACCGTGTTTCTCTGCCTCACCTCCGTTTGTCACAGATGGTTTTTTGGGGGAAGACAATTTTGTTGACATTTCTCTCTTCTTGGTGAATGTGCTGGTCCCTGTGTGTTTCTGGCCACAGACGTTGCTTCTGTCCTGTGGCAATAGCTGGCCTCCTTGCTTTAGGGCGATCTTCTGATTTAAGGACCATCGAGGCAATTCTACGTGGAGTGGCCATCCGCGCCTCCTGAGTCTGCCGCTGGCTCTGCGGCTGAGCCGGCTTGTGTCACTCGGGGCTGATTTCTGTGGTGGCAGAGGCTGTGTGGACTCTGAAAACTCTGGAAAACAGCTCTTTCCTGGTTACCCTAGTAACTAACGGAGGCATTTGGAAGTGAATTAAGCTGATTTTGTTCCAGAGAGTTGATTGACGGAGACGGCTCTGAAAGCATCTCTCCCTTTGCTAAAAATAAGAAGAGAGACGTCAGTGAGACAGAAATTCCTATAATTAAAAATTAATTTCCATCTGTCCTTCACTGCACTAAATTGTGGCCGCTAAAAGCATGTGCCATTTTACAGCGGCTGCAGACACATGCAGGCCTTACGCCTCTGCTGTCCTGCGGGCCGGCACTTCGTCTTTGGTGATGGATGGGATGGAGACCGGCTTGTTTACCTATGCGCTGGTGTTGCTCCTGCTTCTCACATTTGTAAACGAAGGAAGTATTTGTGCTAGTAATAGTAAGAAGCAGCAATAACCAGGCCACGGATGCACTTATTATTATTGTTTTTCCAGACCACTTATTAAAGTTGGATTATTTTTTTTCTTATATTGTCTTGCTGTCATTGTAAAAGGAACATTCTAGGAGCATTTTTTTAAAAAAATATATTTTATTGATTTTTTTTTTTTTTTTTTTCAGAAAGGGATAGAGAGTTAGAAACATTGATGAGAGCGAAACATCGGCCAGCTGTCTCCTACACACCTCCTACTGGGGATGTGCCTGCAACCAAGGTACATGCCCTTGACCGGAATTGAACCTGGGACCCTTCAGTCCGCAGGCCGACGCTCTATCCACTGAGCCACACTGGTCAGGGCTAGGAGCACATTTTTATTTGTTCACATTTCATTTCCTTTGAAGATGATTGAAATCTTCTAAACAGTAAGCGTTCCCTTCCCCACTCAGTCTTCCCCTCTTGTTCGGGGTTGAGATAATTTGGTACAAGGACCCAAGACACATGCTGTGGATGCTTTGTGTGAAAGGCATAGCCTGGCTGGCGTTGAGTGTAAACCTATAGGATAAGTGGTCTTGGAGATTTGGCTTAGCTCAGTGGTCGGCAAACTCATTAGTCAACAGAGTGGCAAATCGTGGCTCGCCAGCCGAAGTTTGCCGACCACTGGTTTAGCCTTCAGTGGTTAGTGGGCCCAAGGGCACTGTGAGGATAGTCCCCAAATATGGACTGTACAGCATCAAACTATACTGTAAAAAACCCAGGTGCCTTATCAATATGGAAATTTCTAGACAATGAATTATGAATACATAAAAAAGAATAAAAAACCCAAGCTAAGCAAAACCACCCTGCAGAAAAAGGAACAAGACCGTAGATGGAATAATTATATGATTTACATACAGTCACACGATATTTTGAAGCTGATAGAAGTTCAAAGAGTCTGGTTTATTAGTCTTCAGGAGGCCCGCACATTCAAAGTAACTTTTCTGCTTTTTTTTTTTTTAACAAGAAAAGCACGTGCACAGAAAAGTGGAGGTGTTTTTCCCAGCCACTAAGCAGCAATGCTCCTTCTCCACTCCGCCTTTCCCCTCGGCACTTTTTTGGGCTGAGGTTGTTTGGTACAAGGATCCGGCATGTGCTCTGTGGATGCTCTGTGCTTGTCATCAGGTTCTTAGTTTTCTAGCTACGTGTGAGGGGCATAGAGGGAGGATGAGCTGTGCTCCAGCAAAGGTCCTTGAGGAATATTTAAAATGTTTTCTTTCAAAATCAGTGTGACCATTACACCTGTGCATGCATTGTAAGCTGAGAGACCCCAGCAAAGTGTAATGGTAGAGAACAACCACTAGGTGGAGACAACACACAAGCTGCTAGGTAAGAGTGTGGAGACCCCAGAGGGGCCCCCCCTCCCCCCGCCACATGTGCAAGTGAGGGTGCTGTTTATATATGTATTTTATTGATTTTTTACAGAGAAGAAGGGAGAGGGATAGGGTTAGAAACATCGATGAGAAAGAAACATGCCCTTGACTGGAATCGAACCTGGGACCCTTTAGTCCGCAGGCCAACGCTCTATCCACTGAGCCAAACTGGTTAGGGCGAGGGTGCTGTTTAAACCAGACAGAACCAAGTGGCTGATTGTCATTCTGTTTCAAGCCTTTTAGTCCTCATATCACATGTCGATATATATAAAAACCTAAGTGACCATTACCATGGCACAACCAGAAGGGCAGATCACCATGATGTGCACTGACCACCATGGGGCAGACATTCAATGCAGGAGCTGCCCCCAGCCCATGGCCCCAATCATCAGTTGGGCCCTGGGCTGGGACAGGGAACCGGACTCGAGCATGGAGGGGAGGCTAAGAGGTGTAGGGGGTGGGGGGAGGCGGGGAACCTGATTGGCCCTGATTGCTGGCTAGGCCTAGGGGCCTGGCCCATGCACGGATTTCATGCACCAGGTGTCTAGTTTCCAAATATTTGCAAATAGACTCAGGATCCTCACAAAAGCGTTTTATTTTATGGTTGTCTAAGATACTCGGTTATTTACTTGTTTATTTATTTATTTTTACTTCTTTTGGAAAGACCTTCTTGTAAGTGGGAGATTGAGTTGCAAAACTTTGAAAACCTATCAGTAGGGCGGGTCGTTCTCAGAACTAGAAACCCGGAGAAGAGTGTTCAGAGACGTAGCAATGCTCTCAGGGTGGGGGATTTGTGTGAGCAGCATGGAGGGGCAGGAGGGGGATGGGGGGATTGGGAATGACCAAGTCCAGCAGGTGGATCTGTCAGTGCAGGTGTGTGACGCCTTCTCACCGGCTCACAGGAGTCAAACTCGGTGTGGGGTCGAACACAGGCCGCAGTTATTGTGTGTCAGAGTACTTTTATTTGCTAACATTTATCAGGAGGCGGCTACGCGTCAGGCTCTGTACTGAGGGCTTCACGTAATCCAATCTATGGCAATCCAACGAGGTGGACCCCAGCCTCATTTTATAAATAGGGAAATTGAGGCAGGGGGGCGTTCAGTTTGTGAATCAGGTCCCACAGCCTGGAAATGGCCAAGCTGGGCCTCAGATCCACCTGTGTTCCACTCCGAAGCCCGGACTGGCCTTCCCAGCAAACCTTTCCTCCCTGTCCTTGACCATGGCCTCGCCCCTGGACAGTGCCTGGCCGGCCGGGGTCAGTGCACACCCTGCCCTCAGAGCGCCTCCTCTGGCCCACCCATTCTGACTTTAGACCTGAAACCTCGTTCAAGGCGTTCGGACCCTGGAGCAAGGGGACTTGCACTTCTCGGCTGGGCTGGTTTCTTTCTTTTAATTTTTATATATTTTATTGATTTTTTTACAGAGAGGAAGAGAGAGGGATAGAGAGCTAGAAACATCGATGAGAGAGAATCATCGATCAGCTGCCTCCTGCACACCCCCCACTGGGGATGTGCCCGCAACCAAGGTACATGCCCTTGACTGGAATTGAACCCGGGACCTTTCAGTCAGCAGGCCGATGCTCTATCCACTGAGCCAAACCGGTTTTGGATGGGCTGGTTTCTTAGTTGAACCAGGGACTGGTGGGACAGGGGTGGGGGGACTGGTGGGACAGAAGTAGGGGACTGGTGGGGCAGGGGTGCGGGATGGGGGTGGGGGATCAGTCCCATTTCCTTTCGTCTCAAGTTCTCAGGCGCTCGCTGTGGCCGCCACCAGAATAGAGGGACCTGAACCCCCTTTTAGTGACAATGTACTGAAATGACTCACAGCACTCAGGGAAGCATCATGGCTATAAGTACAACCTATTATGTAAGATACAGATGAACAGAGCAAGGTCCAGAGGGTCCTCAAGGTGGGGCCTTTGTCCCCGTGGAGTGGGGTGCGCCACCCTCACGGCACATTGTGTGTTCGGCAACCAGAAACGCCCCCAAACTTATCTTTCTGAGGTTCTCATCAAGACTTCAGTGCGTTGGCAGGATCAATGAAATCACTGGCCGTGGGTGCCTGAGCTCAATCTCCCGCTCCTCCTGCTCCTCCCCTGCTCTCGCTGCTCCCGCTGCTCCTGCTCCTCCTGCTCTTCCAACTCCTCCCGCTGTTCCCCCTGCTCCCGCTCCCCCGGAGATGGGGTGGGATGATGCTGGAAGTTCTAACCTAATCACATGGTTAGTTTTCCTGGCAGCTAGCTCCCATTGGAAGCTCTCTAGTTCCCCCTCCTCACGCGTGGTCTCATGACCCAAAGGGGCTCATTGTAAATAACAAAAGATAGTCCTGTCAAGGACACACCACGGTCACTAAGAACTCTGTGCCGGGAACTGAGACCAAGACCAGGTATATTTCTTATTATGCGATGACACACACGTTACATGTACGGTCTGATGAGTTCCGACAAAGTGTACATTCATGG